GCGGTTTGAAAGGACGATTTTTTGCAGGGAGCAGCGACGCTCCTGGGGCTCCATCCCCGTGGCAGTTCTTCCCCAGGGAGCCCTGCAGTGCTGCCATTTCTTGGGGTTTTTGTGCTCCTCAGAGGCAGGAAAGCTGCGGGTTGGCTCTGGCCCCTGGCTGGCAGTGGGATAGGCAGAGGGCACTTGTCCCCGAGCCCCCGCGCCCCAGCACGTGGTCGCTTTCCCCTGCTAACCAGCTTATTGCTTTCGGGCATTTTCCCCATCTGGGTTTTGCCGCCTGTTACACCGTGTCCCGCCATTTGGCGTGGGGGATGGAGGGCGGGGGAGATCCCTGTGGTGTTTAAAAGGATCTGGATAAATCCTCTTAAGAGAGGCACTGACTCAGCAGAGTGTGGTGAGAGAGGAGGAGGAGGAGGAGGAGGGAACCAAATTATCCGAGTGGGGCTGGAGCTGCCGCTGAACACATGGGGCTGGGGGTGCTGGGGCAGGCATGTGCCTGGGGACCTGTCCCGAGGAGCATCCTCTCTTCCCTCGCCAAATTTTAGGTGGTCTCCATCGCTCAGAGCAGGGATGTGAGCCTCTTAGCTGGGTCGGGCTGTGGGCTGGAGGTGCCTGTCCCCAGGGGCACCAGGACCTGTCCTGGCTGTGCCCGAGCCCACCCTGGTGCCGCTCCCCAGGGTTTCCTCCCAAATTTGAGCTCCACCCTTGGATTTCTGCCTCGTGTGTGGGGCCAGCGCTGCCAAAGCTCGCGGGCGGCTTAGTTTCACAGTTATTATTTATTACTGCAGGAGCGCCGAGGTGCTCGGTTCCCACAGGGACAGATTACCAAGATTAGGGTCAGACCAGGCGGCAATGTCACCTTACGGGAAAGGCAAAGGCTTGGGGAGGGGGAGGCAGCCAGGGTGGGTCTGGGGGTGTGCTGCTGCCCGCCGAGGGGTCCCTGCTGTGTCCGGCACCCGGTGCTGGTGCAGCCTGGGTTTGCAGAAGGGCTGAGACACGGAGCCAGGGGACACAGACCAGACCAAGAGCAGCATCCCAAGGTCCTGGCTCTGGCTGTGTGCAGGCACAGGTGGGCTCAGGGCTGAGCTGGCCAGGAGGACTGGTGTCACCTGGTTTGCATTTCTGAGCAGGCGAGGGAGGCTCTTGCTGCCTGCCGGCTGTTGCCTTTGGCTCACCAGGATGCCTCGTACGTCTGCAAGAGCATCTCTGCTGCGCTTCACCCTCCTTATCTCATGGTGTATCATGTCCTCCTGTGCAGAGCTCCACGCAGGAGATTGGAGAAGAGCTGGAGGATGGTGTGATCTACAGCATATCGCTCCGGAAGGTGCAGCTCCATCACACGGCCAACAAAGGGCAGCGATGGCTGGGGGTAAGTGGGGGCTCCGCCAGCCTCCCACCATGGGCTGGTTTTGGACATTTCCTTGCCAGAGACATGGTGACCTGTCAAAGCTTGGCAGGGTCGATACCAGCCCATGTCCTGTCCTCTTCTTGCTCCCCCCTGTCCATGCATTTCCTTCCAAGCCTTACCTGTGAATCTTGTATTTACCTGGGAGCACCCCCTGGCCTCTGCCCCATGGGAAGGGGCACGGGGGAAACAGTCTGAAGCCCCATTTTGCAAAATAGGGCAACCTTGAGGCTTTCCTGGGATTTCCCAAAGGCTAAAGTCTTCTCAGCTGAGCTGCTGGTATTTGGTCTCGAAGGAGACCTGGCTTCTCTCCCTGAAGCCCACCATGGGAGCCCCAGGCACTGCAGGGGGTCTGGGGTCCCATCCTAGACCCCAGTGATGGCTTGTGAAGCTGGTGGGACTGCATTGCCCTTGAACGTGTCTGTCTTCATCCAGCCCACTGACTTGTGCTCCTGTCCCGGCAGTTTGAGAACGAGTCAGCCTTAAACCTCTACGAGACGTGTAAGGTGCGGACAATAAAAGCTGGGACCTTGGAGAAGCTGGTGGAGTACCTGGTCTCAGCCTTCAAGGGCAATGACTCCACCTATGTCACCATCTTCCTGTGCACTTACCGGGCCTTCGCCACCACCAAGCAAGTGCTGGACCTGCTGCTTAACAGGTGATGTCACCCCACACCCCAAAACACAGCTGGGGGTGGCCAGTGCCTGAGCCCGCTTGGCCAGGAGAGCCCCAGCATCTTCTGCTGCCGTGCCTTGATGGGCTTCTCCCAACAGCATCAGTCTGAAGGTTTTGGGACAGGGCAGGGAGGACATGACTGCCCAGAGAGCTGGAGTCCTTCCAGCTGGTGCTGGCTGCTCCCCTCTTCCCATAACATGGGGCTGTGGGAGGCTGCGGGGAGCAGGACAGTGGGTGGGAGGTTCATCCTGACCCGCAGCAGAGCTGGGGGAGATGTGGAGGGGGAAGAGGCAGCACCGAGACACACCTGAGGCCAGGGCACTGACTGCCTCCTCGCTGTGTCCCCCCAGGTACGGCAAACTCCACGTGCAGGCGAACGGGGACCACGCCAAGCACGCCGTGGATGAGAGGATGGAGCTGAAGAAGTAAGTCCAGCTGCGCTGTGGGTGAATGAGATGGGTGGCTCTGGTTGATAGCTCTTCTGGGGTGCAGGGGTTTCTCCTGGCACCCGATTCTCACGCAGGCTTGCCTGTGTTCCCCCTCTGCCCACAGCACCATCTCCTCCATCCTGGGTGCCTGGCTGGACCAGTACTCGGAGGACTTCCGCAAGCCCCCAGACTTCGCCTGCCTCAAGCAACTCATCTCCTACGTGCGTCACAACATCCCTGGCTCGGACCTGGAGCGCCGAGCCCGCATCCTGCTCGCCCAGTTCCAGCAGCAAGAGCAGAGCGAGTCCGAAGCAGAAGGTGGGATCCTTTCCCCGCTTGCAGGAGGTTGTTTGGGGCTGCAGGTGGAGAAAGTGCTACTGGTTGGCATCAAGGGTCTCCAAAACCTCAGGCTAAAACCTGTATTTATATGGAGGCACACCAGGAAGCTAATCCAACCGAACCAGAGTGGGATTCCTAAATGGATTAGCTAATCTGCCTTTAATCCTCTGCAGACACTTGTGTCCAGCTTTAAAATGCTTATCCTTTTATCTGAGCCTCATTTCTCGAGGCGTGAAGCCAGATGGGAATTAAGAGCCGGGGAGGTGGGATGTGGGTGCCCGCAGAGGCTGGTGTGGGTCAGCATTGGTCCTGGCTGGCGGTAGCGCTGCGGTGCTCAGCTTCACACTGTCTCTTGCAGCTGTGGAGCACGGTGGCTGCACCTTCCAGCTGGTGGAGGAGAACGGGGTCGGGGACGGGAAGCCGGATTTCCTCTCCTTCTCCCCAGAGATGGTGGCAGAACAGTTCACGCTGATGGACGCGGTGAGTATTCACTCAACAGCTGGGTCGATGGTGCTCTACCCGCCTGCTGCTCTGGGCACAAGCCTGTCTCTTCCCTTCCACCTTCCCAGGGACCCCAAAGAGACCCATCTCCATCCCTTTCTCTTCCAGGAGCTGTTTAAGAAGGTGGTGCCTTACCACTGCCTGGGCTGCATCTGGTCCCAGCGCGACAAGAAGGGCAAGGAGAACCTGGCACCCACCATCCGTGCCACGGTCTCCCAGTTCAACAGCGTGGCCAACTGCGTCATCGCCACATGTCTGGGAGACCGGTCCCTGAAGCCGCAGCAGAGGGCCAAAGTGGTGGAGCGGTGGATCGAAGTGGCTCGGGTAGGACAGCCGCCCGTCCTGCCCCCCTCCTGCCTGCGCCCAGGGCTGAGGTTCTGCGGCGTGCGGGTCCCAGCAGAGCTCTGGGCTTGCTTTAATGCCCAGTCCTGACATCTCCTTGTCTGTCCCCAGGAGTGCCGCATCCTGAAGAACTTCTCCTCCCTCCGAGCCATCCTCTCGGCTCTGCAGTGCAATGCTGTTCACCGGCTGAAGAAGACCTGGGACGAGGTCCTGCGGTAAGCGGTGTCTTCTGGGCTCCTGTGGCCGTGGGGAGGTTTGGAGGGGGAGGTGGTGCTGTGGCCGTGGCCCTTGACAGTGTAGATGGGACCATCTCAGCTCCAGCATTGCTTCTTGGAGTGTGCCCAAAACCCAGGGACCAGTGTAAGCTGTCCAGGGACCTAAGGAGGGTGAAGAGATAAAAGCACCATCATCTCCTCCTCCTCTCCATGCGAAACACCCTCGAATAGCCCCCGAACAGCGAGGCCCTGCTAGAGCTGTGAGCATGGTCCTTGGGTGAGCAGAAGGAGACCCCAAGGAGGAGACCCCAGGGTGACACCTTGGTGACTCCCCCCGTGTTTCTCCCTGAGCAGGGAGAGCTTCCGCACCTTCCAGGAGCTCTCAGAGATCTTCTCCGATGAGAACAACCACTCACTGAGCCGGGAGCTTCTCATTAAGGTATGGGGAGGTGGCACCTGCAGCCCCTGTCCCTGCCAGGGAGCTGGGGCTGATGCTGGCAGAAGTTTCCACGGGGCTCCAGCGCTGCCGGGATTGCAGGCGAGGGTGCAGGCAGGGCGTGCCCAGCCTGGGGAACAGGCAGGGGTTTCGGACCAGGCTGGGCTTTCTGCTTCTCCACCCAAAAGTCATCATTGCCTGAAGCTTGCAAAGCAATTCAGGAAGCAGAGATAAGCCGTGGGGTGGGATCCAGTGCAGGAGGGGATGGCAGCTGTGTTTTAACAGCCCAGTGCAAAGTCCTCTTGATTTCGGGTGGGGTTTGTAGGGTTTGTAAAAGGCTGCAGGAGAAATGTCCTTCTTCCCTGTGGAGCCTCTCCGCATCTTCCCAGCCTAGCTCCAGTCTGGGGGCTGAGGACACTAAATGCAAAAGGGAACAAAACATCCCATTGAAGAGCTATTTATTCAGAGCTGGAAATGGGAGCAGCAGTTCCTATTCATGAGCCTCTCCTCCCTGTGAGCCATGAAAAAGCCCAGCTTTGATTTCCTCCTCTTCCCGGCCCCCCCCACACGGCAGTCGTACCCATGAAAGCCCGGGTGCATTTTAGCTCATCTGTTAGTGCGGTTTCCCACCCGCGCTGACCCCCACCTCTCCCCACCATCCAGGAGGGCACGTCCAAATTTGCCACCTTGGAGATCAACCCGAAGAGGGCTCAGAAGCGGCAGCAACAGCAGCGGGAGATGGTGAGTCTGGCACAGCCGCCCCCATGTCCCCTCCCCGGGGGCTGCCCGGGCTGGTCCCGGCTCTCTGCTGACCCTGGCTGTCCCTTCTTGTCCCCGCAGGGTGTGATGCAGGGCACCATTCCCTACCTTGGCACCTTTCTCACGGACCTGGTGATGCTGGACACTGCCATGAAGGATTTCCTGGATGTACGTACCTCCATCTCCATCCTCTGCTTCCTCCTCCTGCACAGCCGCCCCAGAGCCCGCGCTGATAGATGGAGGGCTGGTGCCCCACGCGTCCTGTGCTGGACACTGCACCCGTGTGTCCTGTGTTGGACGCTGCACCTCCTGCGTCCTCCATCCGACACCGCATCCGCACATCCGCCTCTGGCAGCCCATGGAAATGGGTCACTGCCCCTCGGCACAGATGTCCCCATGGCTGTGGCAGCAAGCTGGGGGGACAGGGAGGGATGGGAGCAATTTTTTTTTCCTTCTTATTCCACACTGACGTTTGTCTCCCTTCCTTTCCAGGGTGGGCTGATCAACTTTGAGAAGAGAAGGAAGGTGAGAGCTCTGCCCTGGCAACAGCACAGCGGGGTGGAGGGAGGAGGCTGACTTGGTGCAAGCCCAGGCTGTGCCGGTCACTTTGGGGTTGTTCCCTCTCCTTTTTTGCCCCGTCCCTGGAGGGGTTCAAGGCCAGGCTGGATGAGGCTTTGAGCAACCTGGACTGGTGGGAGGTGTCCCTGCCCATGGCAGGGGGGTGGGACTCAATGATCTTTAAGGTCCCTTCCAACCCAATCCAGTCTGGGATTCTGTGTTCTTTGTTTTTGGGGAGAGGGATTCTGGTCATTCGTATTTGCCTCCATGTGTGGGGCTGGGCTGTTCGTGGAGGGGGCAGACAGATGTGGTCTCACGACCTCTGCTCACTGCAGGAGTTCGAAGTCATCGCCCAGATCAAGCTGCTCCAGTCCGCCTGC